GATAAAGACCTTTATAATGATTCACTGCCACTTAATGAACAGTAAATATATTTTCCTTAGGATTTTCTTGTTGTTTTTTTTTTTTGAGACAGAGTCTCGCTCTGTTGCCACCCAAGCTGGAGTGCAGTGGCCTGATCTTGGCTCACTGCAACCTCTGCCTCTCGGGCTCAAGCAATTCTCTGCCTCAGCCTCCCAAGCAGCTGGGATTACAGGTGCCCACTACCATGCTGGCTAATTTTTGTATTTTTAGTAGAAACAGGGTTTCATCATCTTGTCCAGGCCGGTCTTGAACTCCTGACCTCATGAGTCTTGAACTCTTGGCCTCGGCCTCCCAAAGTGCTGGGATTACAGGCGTGAGCCACCCTGCCCAGTTTATGATTTTCTTAACCTTTCCTCAGCTTACTTTAAGAATGCAGTATATTTTATATATATATACACACACACACACATATATATACACACACATAATATACTAGTTAGTATATCATGATTAAGCATGTCAATCAACCATGTTATTGGTCAATAGTATGCTATTAGTAGTTAAGTAGTTATTAAGTAGTATTAAGCAGTTAAGGCTTTGGTCAACAGTATGCTATTAGTACTTAAGTTTTTGGGGAGTCAAAAGTTATATGCAGATTTTAAATTGCACAGGGGTTGGCACCCCTAACCACTATGTTGTTCAAGTGTAAACTGTATTTGAAAACTGGCAAAACTGGCCGGGCGCGGTGGCTCAAGCCTGTAATCCCAGCACTTTGGGAGGCCGAGACGGGTGGATCACGAGGTCAGGAGATCGAGACCATCCTGGCTGACACGGTGAAACCCCGTCTCTACTAAAAAATACAAAAAACTAGCCGGGCGAGGTGGCGGGCGCCTGTAGTCCCAGCTACTCGGGAGGCTGAGGCAGGAGAATGGCGTAAACCCAGGAGGTGGAGCTTGCAGTGAGCTGAGATCCAGCCACTGCACTCCAGCCTGGGCGACAGAGCGAGACTCCGTCTCAAAAAAAAAAAAAAAAAAAAAAAAAAGAAAACTGGCAAATAAAGAATCTTAATGAAGGTTGTAAGATCTGTTTCTCTGTCTCTCCGTGTCTATATATGTGTTATGTGTGTGTGGTATTTCTCTACCAAAATATATCAGAGAACTCTAATAATTGGTTTAAGGAAAAAGTAAGCACTTCAATCTTTTATCAGAAAAACAGGACCTAACTCCAATGCCTTTTAGTTCACACGACTTGGATATTTTTGGTAAGAAAGACTATTTGGAAAACAGCTGTGTGTCTTCTGATCAGCAAAAATGCCCATGTATTTTTTTTTTTTTTGAGACGGGGTCTCCCTCTGTCATACAGGCTGGAGTGCAGTGGCACGATTTTGGCTCACTGCAACCTCCATCTCCTGGGTTCAAGTGATTCTACTGCCTCAGCCTCCTGAGTAGCTGGAATTACAGCCAATGTGCTACCATGCCTCGCTAATTTTTGTATTTTTAGTGAGACGAGGTTTCACTATGTTGGCCAGGCTGGTCTCGAACTCCTGACCTCAAGTGATCCACTGCGCCGGGTCTATATGGATGTTTTTTATATTCCAAGATTATATAAAGCTCTTAGAAATCTGATATGTCTTGGTATATATGCTATCAGTCATAATTTTGGTTTAGAAATAACTAAATTTCCTTGTCAACTGTGTCACTATAATGAACTCTCATCAGGTTTTTAACCGCAGCCATTTTAAGTCTTGCTGTCCATAGTTATTTTGTTCTGACATTTTCTGAAAGCTCTCTGCAAGCAATTATAATCCGTAAGTGCTGTGTCTTCAAAGATGTATATGCGAAAAATGAAATGAATGCTGACAAATACAGGTTTGAGTTCACACTATTGGACTAAATATTCAAAATTCTAATGAAGAAACTAATGAATTTGTGTAACTGCTAACCAAGATCAAACAGCAAGAATTAATTACATGAGACTGAATTGATTAAAGAAGAATCATGGGATTTTATGGCTTCTTTATTTGAAACACTGCTGGTTCTTTTAATGTTTTGTTTGCCAGATTTAAGGAAACTTTTTTCTTTTAAGGTTTTTATAGCTTATCGCAATTTGGTAAAGTATACTTTTATAATAAAAATGAAAATATTTGCTTTTCCTCCCAACAGGTTCCCTCCAGAATTTGCAAACTATTCATGAGTATTCTTATTTTTATGGCAATATCATTATTTGCATAAGTTCAATAAGAATCTTTCCTTTTAATAAAAGGACACAACTGGAAACTGGTTATGTTACCAAGGCTTTGAATGGAATGCCATATTTCAATATGTGCAAACAATGCCTGGCTTTAAGCATTCCCTGCCTTACAGTGAGTAAATCTGTCTCTTCCTGGCAGGCTCAGGAACCTCCAGATGTTGGATACAGCAGGCAAAGACTAATATCTGTCCTGGTTTGGCTTCCTAGCAGAGACATTTTTTATAGACCAATTTGAGATTCCTCGTCAAAATTTCCAGCAAAGGAAATTTAAATATGTGCTTTCAAATACGTGGTTAGTCAGGCAAACTGGTCTTACTGTGATTATCTTTGGTAGAAATGGGAGTGACTGTAGAGAGAAAAATTACATTTCAAAAGAAAACTCCAGTATGCCTGTTATTTAGATTGTAGCCCTGTTTATTGAGTTTTTATTATCTACCTGTACATTGCACTGAATTCTGAATTCTTTTAGTTTTCTCTAATATCTGACTACGACTATCCAATGAAGGAGAATTGCTCAGTTCCTGAAGCCCTATAAACTAAAGCTGGACAAATCGATGTAAATTGCAAGGAATAAGTCTCACGCCTAATGCATGGGCCACACAGAGTCCACTAGGATGGCCAATGCCACAACCAGAGACATTCACAACTGCAAACCACATCGGAGCAAGATTCCCTCTCATAGTAAGACTCTTACCCTCCTTAATTTTTCCTTACTTACGCCTAACTCTTATGTGGCAGGGAGGACAACGTTGTAGTTAAAATTTCGCCATCAGTAGCCTCTGCAGGTAACTTGCACTCCCTGCTTTAATTTAACTCAGTCATGGGATGCAAGATTACCTACTAACTTTACAGAGAAGAATCTGTGCAGTTGATGACGCTTCCTGTTGCACACAGATAAACACATCAGGTATTGCAGAGCAGACTACTTGGTTAAAACAAGGTAGATTCCTTGTCTAACCATTTGGTTTTAGTTGGGGCCCTAGCCGAGGAGCATACTCCACCCAAACTCTTGGTATTATCCTCCTTACAGTCATAACAGTAGTCTCCTGGGTGTGCCATATCCCCTCAAAAAGTTTTAAATGTTTCCATACAGCTACCTGTCAAATGCCAAATGGTCTTTCTCCAGCTGGAACAAAAACCAAAAAAAAAAAAGGGTGATAATGAGGACACCAGAACCTATAAAGTGTATGCTGGGATTAGAAACCCAAAATGATGGTAACTGACAATGGCAATGATGCCTTAAGGTTTGGTCAGGCCCTGGGTGAAAGCCTAACAAAAAATGAGGAATTGCTAAATAAAAATTATAGGAGGCCACTGTTTTGGACTAAGTGTCTGCACTAGACCCCAAAAGACCAGACTAAAACTCAAAACAGAATCATCCATGTAAGTTTCATGTTACCAAACTCAAACCTGGGAAGTTCATTTGACCTTCCTAGAAATCGAGAGAAAGAGTGAACAACCAATTTCTTAAACAGGGCAGTTTAAATCTTCAATGGGTATCATAATGAATTTCCCTCTGCTTTAATCCTTATATGGGAAAGGTGGCCTGAAGCAGCCTGTTAACTAATCAGTTATTTTTCTCTTTGTCTCCTTGTCCCAGCCTGACAAGAGAAGTAACTTTGAAAGGACTTTGCTTCTGCTCTCTTTAGTCCTTCTCTGTCTATAAAGCCAACCACTTTTGCTCAGCTCAGAACACCTACTGAATTTTATGGAAGGAAGTGTTGTTTGGTTCTAGAACCACAATAAAGCCAACTGGGATCTTTAAACTAAAAAAAAAAAAAAAAAAAGGCAACAGACTTGTAGTTTAAAAAACACAGTTTAAAAGTACAATGAAAGGGCCGGGCGCGGTAGCTCATGTCTATAATCCCAGCACTTTGGGAGGCCGAGGTGGGGCGGATCACGAAGTCAGGAGTTCGAGATCAGCCTGGCCAAAATGGTTAAACTCGTCTCTACTAAAAATACAAAAATTAGCCAGGTGTGGTGGCAGGCACCTGTAATCCCAGCTACTCGGGAGGCTGAGGCAGGAGAATCGCTTGAAATCAGAAGGTGGATGTTGCAGTGAGCCGAGATCACGCCACTGCACTCCAGTATGGGCAAAAGAGCGAAACTCCGTCTCAAAAAAATAGAAGTACAATGAAAGAAAAGATGTCATTCACAAAAGCAACAGAAAATATGAAATAACCAAGAAAAACAAAAAATGTTTAAGATCTATATTAAGAAAAATTCAAAATGCTTTCTGGCTGAGGAATATAAAAGAAGTCTTGACTACATGAAAAGACAAAATTTGTTCTTGGTTAGAAAGAGCAGGATCATAAAAATTGCTCTATAAATATAACAGGAAGATTTGTTTTGGATTAGGCAAACTGATTACATATATATTTATACTTTGGAATTTTAAAAGTTGATTGTAAACTCCATATAAAAATTTAAGTGCGAGAATATCCAGGATGATTCTGAAAAATGTGGGATAATATGGAGAGAATAAGGCCAATCCAACAGTAAGATACACCATAATGTTGTAGCAATGACAACAGTGCAATCTGGTGCATTAATAGTCAAATGGAACAATGGTGCAGATACTCAATCCAGAAGCAGACTGAAACATACAACTTCTAAATCTAAGGGTACCTGGGGTAGAATGGAAAAGAGGTTCTCAGAACGAGTACAAGAGGTGCTCTCAGCTGTTCCACAACAAGGCCCACAAGAGTGGCTGAATACTTAGATCACCAACTTGCAATAATGTCTCAATGTAAGTTTAAAGAAAACTCACTTCTGTCAGGATGACATCATCATCCAGGTCCTCTTCTTCATGCTGCTGAGGAGCTGGGGTGACCAGCATTGGAATCCCTTCCTCATCTGAGGAGTCAGATATGGTGATGGGCCCATCTCTGAGATTGATCCACTCTACAGGAAAGCAGAGAACACCGTTACTGGGAGGCTGGCAGTACCACATCCAACCCTTTAAGTTTGTCCTGACAAGGGTACAGCCTAAAGTCAACTTCATGGCTACTACTGTAACGTACCTCCTTAAGCAGCCCACGCACTTAGGCATTAAGAGCCATGTTTCTATGCTGACTTTTGCCAATAACACATTTTGGGAACTGCTAGAGAACATCTGACAATTACTATGCTCAAGATTGTAACTTTTTCTCACACTAGGTTGGAGAAATCTGTTCATAAAATTTTCTGGACTGCCAATTTCTTTAAAGTGAAATAATGGTCTCCCAATCCATCTCTATTCCTCCCGGGAATATGTGGCTATTTTATTTAAATTGTTTGGTCTGAAAAAATTATCACTCAAAAATAGTAAAAGTTTAATTATTTAAAATATTGAAATTTGCTCATCTTAAACACAAACTTTAAGAATCATTTAGGCGAACCTATTTCAATGCTTTAGTCAAGCACCCATTTAGCACCTATGACAGTCAGCAATTTAACTTTCCAAGTTTCCTTTAAAATATATAATCTAACCATCTAGATGTAGTAATTCTATTCAAGGTCTTTATTTCCTTTTATCAATTTGAAAACAGGCCATGTTTGATAAGAATTATCGGGTAAGACAAACTGGTATTTTTTCCTGTCTAGTTCCATAGGAATATCAAAGGTTAAATTGGACAATTTAAAAAAGCACTAGCCGGGAGCAGTGACTCACGCCTGTAATCCCAGCACTTTGGGAGGCCAAGGTGGTTGGTTCATGAGGTCAGGAGTTTGAGACCAGCCTGACCAACATGGTGAAATGTTGTCTCTACTAAAAATACAAAAATTAGCCAGCCGTGGTGGCACACGCCTGTAATCCCAGCTACTCAGGAGGCTGAGGCAGGAGAATCATTTGAACTCGGGAAGCAGAGGTTGCAGTGAGCTGAGATCGCACCACTGCACTCCAGTCTGGGTGACAGTGAGACCTCGTTTCAAATTAAAAAAAAAAAAAAAAGTCATTAAGTGACCTAAAAGAATGGAAGAAGAAAGAAGAGAGAAGAAAAGAAAGAGGCATCTCATCACTGCAATTTCTGAAATTCTTCCATTAAAGCCAGCGGAGTCCTTGGGTTCGGAGTTCGAGACCAGCCTGGCCAAGCAATGGATGAAACCCATCTCTACTATAAATACAAAATTAGCCCGTGTGGTGCATGCAACTGTAATCCCAGTTACCTGGGAGACTGAGGCAGAGAAGAATCGCTTGAACCTGGGGAGGTGGAGGCTGCAGTAAGCCAAGATCATGAACACTGCCACTCCAGCCTCGGTGCTAGAACAAGACCTGTCTCCAAGGCA